GAGAGTGAGGCAAGGGCAGGCAGGCTGAAGTGGCAACGCCTATAGGTGGCAGCACCATCATGGCGCGAAATATGAACTAAGCTGGCAGACAGCATGGGCTGTCTGTGCAGACAGTACAGGCTGTCTACATATGCTCGGCCACCTACCTCGCGTCGTCCCGACGCGACAATACTGGTGGTAAAAGAAACTCGGTCTCTCTATCGTAGGAACAGGGCATAGAACACAAAATAAAAACATATATATACATAAGGACATGGAAAAAAAAACTTCCTACAGGGAGGGAAGAAAAAAACATGTGGGGTGCGCTAAACAATGTGGTCAAAGGCAGTGTTCGTCGATGGGCATCACTGCACGCCTTCCTGCATCTGGACAGATACTGCAACACAGGAGACATCGCTGCGGCTGAGCTGTGACGTAACAGGTTATGGTCTCCTCTGGAACGGTGAAGCAGTCATCGTAGGAGTCGCTGCAGGTTTCACTCAACCTGGGGCACGACATGCTGGTGCCCTCGAGTGAGGCGTCGACAAAACTCGGCAACTGGGCGACTCAGGAGGACACTTCTCGACTGGTACAGTCGCTGGGCTGTCACTGCCGGCGAGCGTGGAGCAAGTTGCGGAGCGAGTCTCGTGGCAGAGACGACTGGGCGAAACATCTGGGAGTCGTAACATCATACACCAGACTGCAGTGAGCGAGCTAGCAGTCAAAGTGACATCATCTTTGTGCAGGCTGCTCACTGAAGCTTGTGACACGAGGCTGACACAGCGCTTGCTGACAGGGCTAACTACGGCTTGGCGAGTATCATTCTCTCGGCAGTTGGAGTTATAGCAGAGGTTAGTCTAAGCGTCCCCAAACTTGTTTCTCTACATATAACTGCACTCTGAAGGTCTGGAGGTGAAGTGAAACAAATCTCGATGGGAATCGTAGCAGGTACGATTCTGCAGAACATCATGAGCGACGAGCATAAAAGCTTTCTGTACAAGAGGGCTCGGTCACTTGGGGGCTGAGTAAATCAGCTGTCAAACACACTGGTCACACGGGTGACTTAGCACAGTGGTGCTATTCAGGTCTGGCTCAGACCTCACTGGACACACGGAACCTTTACACACCCGCGGTATATGCGGTACAACATGGCTTAACTAGCAAATGATACTTTTCTGTGCACAAAACTGCCACTAAGACATATACTAAAATGTGAGAACACTGACTGAGAGGAATTAATTAACATGACATATATCTTCTCTCAGTCTTCTCTACAATACTGAAATAATTACAGAACACTCGATGGTGACATCATGTGATGTCAGGCGTGATGTCGCGAGGTGACGTCAGCAGCACTGTGACGTCAGCAGACATCTCGAGGTGACGTCAGGCAGACATCGTGAGGTGACGTCAGCAGACATCGTGACGTCATGAAGTCGGGCAGCATCGTGGGTGGCGTCGATGTGATGCGGGCAGCAGACCACAGCATGAGGCCTGGGACATCTGGTAACTCACGTGGCTTTGTAGGTCTACATGACATCGGCCACACCCACGTGACGTCGTGATCTACATAGCTTCGAGTGGCCTCGGGCACTCGGATACACAGCACTGGCAATGAATTCATACGAAAAACAGCAGAAAACACAGCAGAGGGAGTGGGCAGTGGTGAGTGGTGTATGGTAGGCTGGTGGCGAGGAGCATGCGTGAGTGTATGGCAGGGCAGGCATCTGGCCATTCCTCCTCCTCCTCCACCCACAAACACGTGGAGAAGCTCACACTGGATGCAGAAATCACCACAAAACTCACCTCTGGCTTGCTGAAACAGCTGTGCTGAGCTGAACAACAACAACAGCAACATACAAGTGACGCTGAACACGTGACTTGAGAAACAGCGTGGGGTCACTGGGACGCCACTTACAATTCTCGGAGAATTTCGGCAAATTTCGGCTGGATCCTGCTTGTACCTGTGTCTGGATGCTCAAACGTGCAGACACGACATCAGGATAACTCGTTGAGAGACGGATGCTTCTTGTGTAGGGTGATGAAGTGAAGATGACTTCATACCTCTTCCTTCCTCTCCAGGCAAACAACTGCTGCAAGCACCGCTGTCACCATTTATAATGAAAGGATTATTTGGTAGGTGCTGCAAGCGGGTGTGAATGATATAATTCTTCGGAGGCTTCTTTCTTTATTGATAAGTAGTGTTGGGTTACACAGGCTTGTGTGTTTGTGCCCATGGCCCGGGCAGGGCCATGCCCACGAGAGAGAGCTGGGAGTACTTGTGTCTTGATGCCAGGCCGCTGTGTGAGTGAGAGTGAGGCAAGGGCAGGCAGGCTGAAGTGGCAACGCCTATAGGTGGCAGCACCATCATGGCGCGAAATATGAACTAAGCTGGCAGACAGCATGGGCTGTCTGTGCAGACAGTACAGGCTGTCTACATGTCGATGGTTATAATAATCACTCTGGGCTGCTTAAATTTAAATCATATATTTCATATAGGTGTGGTAGCCTGACGAGCTACCACACCTGACATTCTGCAGTAAATGCTCACCTCTATCCCTAAATAACAAATAGGCGCAATACTGTGACTGAAACAATATACAAATAACTTGGACATATGAAAGAGGAGCTTAGGGTGACATTTTGGTCCAACTAGGATCATTTACAAAATCACAGTGTGACTTTGTAAGTGGTCCTAGTCGGACCGAAATATCGTTGTAAGCTCCTCTCTCCTGTGTGCAGGTTATTTGTGTACTCTAACCCTACATTAAGATTCACACATTTTATGGTAAGTAATGAGTATTTTATCACTCTAGAGCACTCTAAATGTCATATATTAAGTGTAGGTGTGGTAGCCGGGCAAGCTACCATACCTACCTCCTGACTTCCTACAATAAATGCTACTTACCTCTTACCCTACATTAAGACTACACATAGCTTTAGGTAAGTAATTGGTGTATTATATGTGTATTTTACATCAATGATCTTCCCAGCTTATCACAACATCTGAAACCCATTCTCTTTGCTGACGACACGACTTATGTCGTCTCCCACCCAAATCTTGCCACCTTCAACACCATTGCTAATGAGGAGCTACTCAAAATATCTGCTTGGATGACAGCCAATAAACTTACACTTAACACTGACAAAACCTTCTATATTATGTTTGGTAACAGAGCAGGTGTTGCACAACTTAACATTAAAATTGACAACACTCTTTTTGCCAGACATAATGAGGGCAAATTCCTAGGCCTGCACCTCGACAGCCACCTGAATTTCAGCACCCATATCCAACACATAACAAAAAAAGTATCCAAAACAGTTGGGATCCTCTCCAAGATAAATTACTTCATGCCACAATTTGACCTTCTCACACTATACCATTCACTCATTTATCCCTACCTCACCTATGCTATTTGTGCTTGGGGATCAACTGCAACAACACCCCTGAAGCCAATAATAACCTAACAAAAAGCTGCAGTAAGAATAATCATGAATCCAATCTCAGGCAACACTGCCCCCCCCCCCCCCACTCTTCATAGATCTAAACTTACTGTTCAGACTTACTACTGTGCAACCTACATTTACAGAACCTTAAATTCCAATATTAACCCTAACCTGAAACACTTTTTTAATAGTTGTGACAGGACCCACAGGCATAACACCAGACACAAACATCTCTATGACATTCCCTGTGTCTGGCTAAACCTATAAAAAAATTTGCTGTACATATAAGAGCCTAAAATCTGGAATACCCTACCTGAAAACTCTAGAACTGCAGACACATTCATCACTTTCAAAACTACCATTAGAAAACATCTTATCTGCCTGACACAATCCACCATCAGCTAACTACATGAAAACTGCCTATTCTCTTGTATCATACACACATAAAAAACTACCTAGACCTCCCGTCGATATCTGTGATTACCCGCAATTCACACCTACACTCATCCAATTGACTATAAACATAGAAATACGTAATACAACTATTACCTAAGGAATCTTAACTAGTCATAAGTTTGCCTGTGATACTCCAATATAGGAGCTTCAATAGAAACTATGTACATGTATTGTACCAAAACAAAACCATTCACAATGCTAAATTTATGAACTGTAATGCAGTTACTTAACCTTAAGACCAATATGCTCCATAATCTGTACTAATGTAGAGTTTTGAATTAATCTTAGCCTGCCTGAAGTGCCTAGTCATGTTAAGTGTGATAGTGGCCCTCTGTAATTAGTTTTATATAGTATGTAAACCACACAATAACCTATAATGTGTAAACCCCACATTGTAATCTTTTCAGAGAATAAACTTGATTTGAGTTGATTTATTGTTTTTAATACCTAGTTCTACTACTAACTTAATATATGATAGTGTAAACATGTTATGAAACATTTATATGTATTTATAATTGAAGCAAGTGTGATCACTTTATGGCCATTTTTGCTTTACAGCGATATCCTGTAACCTAACCTACCATACAAGTGGGGCGCTACTGTAAGTATTTTTTAGGCCTAGCTCAATTTCTCACTAAAAATATGATAATGTAAACATGTGATCAGGCTTTTATATGCATTTAAAAATGAAAAAAAGGCCATATTTCACTTTACAGCAATTTTTGCTTTATAGCAATAGCCCGGAACTTAACCTGCTGTATAAGTGGGGCCCTGCTGTATAAGTGGGGCCCTGCTGTATAAATGGGGCCCTGCTGTATAAGTGGGGCCCTGCTGTATACATATCTGCATTTTCCTTACAGTTTTACTGATGATGCAGAGAATGAGAAAACAATGTATACTGATGGCTGATATAGAGGGATGGGGCAATTGGCAACCTTGAATCTAGTCACCATACAAGTGAAAGGTCATTAATTGGGTCATTATTTTTGATTGAATAATTGCATTATGTGAGTGGTCATTAAGTGAAGGTCCACTGCACTGTATTTATTTTATTCCATGCCTAAGTCTGTAATTGTTTTTTACAAAAAAAAAAAAACATTAAAATTATTGTTTCTTGCAGGCCTCATATTTGCTTCATTGTGGTGGAGATTCCATGGAGTTGTCATAAGTATCTTGTTGTGAGACTACTACCTGGCTGCTATGTGGATGTCTACCTATGATGTGACATACTCTCCTGCATCCCTTTATATAGCAGGTGTGAATACTTTTTATTTATGTTTGCTTTTTAATCCTGTTCATTACCACTGTCTAAATTACTCTTTGATTTAGTTATCTTGCTTATAAGATATCTAACATATACATACCTGGAGCTTTGTCAAGAAATTGACTTAACCTTGAGTGTGTGAACCAGCATGGCTGACTCAGTCAACACCAGGGAGTGTGAACCAGTATGGCTGAGTCAATAAATACCAGAGAGTGTGAACCAGCATGGTTGGGTCAGTATCATACACCAGAGAGTATGAACCAGCATAGCTGGGTCAGTAAACACACACGACAGAGTGTGAAATAGCATGGCTGAGTCAGTAAACACACACACGACAGAGTATGAACCACCACGGTTGGGTCAGAAAACACACATCAGGGTGTGTGAATCAGCATGACTGGGTCAGTATCACAGACCAGGGAGTGTGAACCAGCATGGCTTGGTCAGTATCACAGAGCAGGGTGTGTGAACCAGCATGGCTGGGTCAGTATCACACAGCAAGGAGTGTGAACCAGCATGGCTGGGTCAGTATCACAGACCAAGGAGTGTGAACCAGCATGGTTGTTTCAGTATCACACACCAGGTAGTGTGAACCAACATGGCTGGTTCAGTATTGCAGCAAGGAGTTTGAACCACCATGGCTGGGTCAGTATCACAGACCAGGAAGTGTGAACCAGCATGGCTGGATCAGTATCACAGACCAAAGAGTGTGAACCAGCATGTCTGGGTCAATATCATGCAGGAAGGAGTGTCAACCAGCATGGCTGGATCAGTATCACAGACCAAAGAGTGTGAACCAGCATGGCTGGGTCAGTATCACACAGCAAGGAGTGTGAACCAGCATTGCTGGATCAGTATCACACACCAAGGAGTGTGAACCAGCATGTTAGGGTCAGCATCACAGACCGGGGAGTGTGAACAATCATGGTTGGGTCAGTATCACACACCAGGTCGTGTGAACCAGCATGGCTGGGTCAGTATCACACACCAGGGAGTGTGAACCAGCATGGTTGGGTCAGTATCACACACCAAGGTGTGTGAACCAGCATGGCTGGGCCAGTATCACACACCACGGAGTGTGAACCAACATGGCTGGGTCAGTATCAGAGCAAGGAGTGTGAACCAGCATAGCTGGGTCAGTATCACATGCCAAGGAGTGTGAACCAGAATGGCTGGGCCAGTATCATACTCCAGGGAGAGTGAATCAGCATGGCTTGGTCAGTATCACACACCAGGGAGAGTGAACCAGCATGGCTGGGTCAGTATCACACACCAGGGAGAGTGAACCAGCATGGCTTGGTCTGTATCACACACCAGGGAGTGTGAAGCAGAATGGCTGGGTCAGTATCACACACCAGGGAGAGTGAACCAGAATGGCTGGGTCAGTATCACAGACCAAGGAGTGTGAATCAGCATAGCTGGGTCAGTATCACACACCAGGGAGTGTGAACCAGCATCGCTGGGTCAGTATCACACACCAGGAAGTGTGCACCTGCATGGCAGTGTCAGTATTACACACCAGTGTATGTGAACCTGCAGGGCTGGGTCAGTATCACACACCAGGGAGTGTGAACCGACATGGCTGGATCAGTATTACGCAGCAAGGAGTGTGAACCAGCATGGCTGGGTCAGCATCACAGACCAAGGAGTGTGAACGAACATGGCTGGGTCAGTATTACAGAACAGGGAGTGTGATCCAGCATGGCTGGGTCAGTATCACACACCAGGGAGTTTGAACCTGCATGGCTGGGTCAGTATCGCACTCCAGGGAGTGTGAACCAGCATTACTAGGTATCACAGATCAGGGAGTGTAAACCAGCATGGCTGGGTCAGTATCACACATCAGTGTATGTGAACGTTCATGGCTGTGTCAGTATCACACACCAGTGAGTGTGAACCAGCATGGCTGGATCAGTATCACACACAAAGGAGTGCAAACCAGCATGGCTGGATCAGTATCACACACCAAGGAGTGTGAACTAGCATGGGTGGGTCAGTATCACACACCAAGGAATGTGAGTCAGCATGGCTCGATCAGTATCACCCACCAAGGAGTGTGAACCAACATGGCTGGATCAGTATCACCCACCAAGGAGTGTGAACCAGCATGGCTGGATCAGTATCACACTCCAAGGAGTGTGAACCAGCATGTCTGAATCAGTATCACACTCCAAGGAGTGTGAACCAGCATGGCTGGGTCAGTATCACACTCTAAGGAGTGTGAACCAGCATGCCTGGATCAGTATCACACTCCAAGGAGTGTGAACCAGCTTGGCTGGGTCAGTATCACACTCCAAGGAGTGTGAACCAGCATGCCTGGATCAGTATCACACTCCAAGGAGTGTGAACCAGCATGGCTGGATCAGTATCACACTCCAAGGAGTGTGAACCAGCATGGCTCAATCAGTATCACACTCCAAGGAGTGTGAACCAGCATGGCTCAATCAGTATCACACTCCAAGGAGTGTGAACCAGCACATCTGGATCAGTATCACACTCCAAGGAGTGTGAACCAGCATGGCTGGGTCAGTATCACACATCAGGGAGTGTGAACCAGCATGGCTGGGTCAGTATCACACACCAGGGAGTGTGAACCAGCATGGCTGGGTCAGTATCACACACCAAGGAGTGTGAACCAGCATGGCTGGGTCAGTATCACACACCAAGGAGTGTGAACCAGCATGGCTGGGTCAGTATCACACACCAAGGAGTGTGAACCAGCATGGCTGGGTCAGTATCACACACCAGGGAGTGTGAACCAGCATGGCTGGGTCAGTATCACACACCAAGGAGTGTGAACCAGCATGGCTGGGTCAGTATCACACACCAAGGAGTGTGAACCAGCATGGCTGGGTCAGTATCACACACCAGGGAGTGTGAACCAGCATTGCTGGGTCAGTATCACACACCAGGGAGTGTGAACCAGCATTGCTGGGTCAGTATCACACACCAGGGAGTGTGAACCAGCATTGCTGGGTCAGTATCACACACCAGGGAGTGTGAACCAGCATTGCTGGGTCAGTATCACACACCAGGGAGTGAACCAGCATTGCTGGGTCAGTAACACCACACCAAGGAGTGTGAACCAGCAGGCTGGGTCAGTATCACACACCAGGGAGTGTGAACCAGCATGGCTGGGTCAGTATCACACACCAAGGAGTGTGAACCAGCATGGCTGGGTCAGTATCACACACCAGGGAGTTGAACCAGCATGGCTGGGTCAGTATCACACACCAGGGATGTGAACCAGCATTGCTGGGTCAGTATCACACACCAGGGAGTGTGAACCAGCATGGCTGGGTCAGTATCACACACCAAGGATGTGTGAACCAGCATGGCTGGGTCAGTATCACACACCAGGGAGTGTGAACCAGCATGGCTGGGTCAGTATCACACACCAGGGAGTGTGAACCAGCATGGCTGGGTCAGTATCACACACCAGGGAGTGTGAACCAGCATGGCTGGGTCAGTATCACACACCAGGGAGTGTTGAACCAGCATGGCTGGGTCAGTATCACACACCAGGGAGTGTGAACCAGCATGGCTGGGTCAGTATCACACACCAAGGAGTGTGAACCAGCATGGCTGGGTCAGTATCACACACCAGGGAGTGTGAACCAGCATGGCTGGGTCAGTATCACACACCAAGGAGTGTGAACCAGCATGGCTGGGTCAGTATCACACACCAGGGAGTGTGAACCAGCATGGCTGGGTCAGTATCACACACCAGGGAGTGTGAACCAGCATGGCTGGGTCAGTATCACACACCAGGGAGTGTGAACCAGCATGGCTGGGTCAGTATCACACACCAGGGAGTGTGAACCAGCATGGCTGGGTCAGTATCACACACCAGGGAGTGTGAACCAGCATGGCTGGGTTCAGTATCACACACCAGGGAGTGTGAACCAGCATGGCTGGGTCAGTATCACACACCAAGGAGTGTGAACCAGCATGGCTGGGTCAGTATCACACACCAGGGAGTGTGAACCAGCATGGCTGGGTCAGTAATCACACACCAGGGAGTGTGAACCAGCATGGCTGGGTCAGTATCACACACCAGGGAGTGTGAACCAGCATGGTTGGGTCAGTATCACACACCAGGGAGTGTGAACCAGCATGGCTGGGTCAGTATCACACACCAGGGAGTGTGAACCAGCATGGCTGGGTCAGTATCACACACCAGGGAGTGTGAACCAGCATGGTTGGGTCAGTATCACACACCAGGAGTGTGAACCAGCATGGCTGGGTCAGTAATCACACACCAGGGAGTGTGAACCAGCATGGCTGGGTCAGTATCACACACCAGGGAGTGTGAACCAGCATGGTTGGGTCAGTATCACACACCAATCCATACAAAGAAGAATCCTCCCTCTTACTGTTTCTCCTTCACTTCCTTCCACTGCTTCTTCACTTCCTTCCAATTTTTTCCTTCACTTCCTTTCACTGCTTTTCCTTCACTTCCACTGCTTCTCCTTCACTTCCTTCCTCCCACTGCTTCTCCTTCACTTCCTTCCTCTCAATGTTTCTCCTTCATTCCTTCCACCTTCTTCTCCCTCACTTCCTCACACTGCTTCTCCTCACTTCCTCTTCCCACTGCTTCTCCTTCACTTCCTTCCTCCCACTGCTGCTCCTTCACTTCCCTCTCTCCCACTGCTTCTCCTTCACTTGCTTCCTCCCACTGCTTCTCCTTCACTTCCTCCCTCTTACTGGTTCTCCTTCACTTCCTCCCACTGCTTCTCCTTCACTTCCTTTCTCCCTCTGCTTCTCCTTCAGTTCATCCTTCCCTGCTTCTCCTTTCCTTCCTTCCTCCCACTGCTTCTCCTTCACTTCCTTCCTCCCACTGCTGCTTCTTCACTTCCTTCCTCCCACTGCTTTCCCTTCACTTCCTTCCTCTCTCTGCTTTTGCTTCACTTCCTTCCTACCACTACTTCTCCTTCACTTTCCTTCCTCCCACTGCTATCTCCTTCACTTCCTACCTTGCTCTCTCCTTCTTTTCCTTCATCCCACTGCTTCATCTTCACTTCTTTGCTCCTGCTGCTTCTCCTTCACTTCCTTCCTACTGCTGGTTCTCCTTCACTTCCTTCATCCCACTGTTTCTCCTTCACTTTCTTCCTCTCACTGCTTCTCCTTCACTTCCTTCCTTTCGCTGCTTCTCCTTCACTTCCTTCTTTCCACTGTTTCTCCTTTACTTCCTCCCTCCCACTGCTTCTTCACTTCCTCCCTCCCACTGCTTCTCCCTTTTGTTTCTTATTTATTTATTTGTGTTTATTCCATACTAATATTTTTTGTGATGGTATCACATGCATTGTGATGTTGTGGCCACAACACCGCTCACAATGTAATTGTATTGCAGGCATAGTTATGTTATGGCCACAATGATGCTCAGAATGTAATGGTATCACAGGGACAGTGATGTTGTGGCCTCAACAACTCTCACAATGTAATGGTATCATAGGCATAGTGATGTTGTGGCCACAGTGACGCTCACAGTGTAATGGTATCACAGGGACAGTGTTGTGGTCTCAATAACACTCACAATGTTATGGTATCACAAGCACAATGATGTTGTGGTCTCAATAACACTCACAATGTTATGGTATCACAAGCACAATGATGTTGTGGCCTTAACAACGCTCACAGTGTAATGGTGTCACAGGAAGTGTGTTGTTGTGGCCACAACAACATTCACAATTTAAGAATTGTTAATTTTGGGATCTCAACTGTGAAATGGTTAAAAATAACTTAAACAAAATTGACAAAATATCTGTATAAAGAAAATTAATTCTTAGTTCTTGGCTAATATATCCTCTCCTCCTGCAGGTCAGCGTCTCAACTGAAAATTATGCATACATTGTCAACACTCAGTACAGTGAAAGTATTATAAGTGGCAGAAATAGTGTAAGCAATATTGATCACATTGTCATAAATACATTATGAGTAAGTGTACTTGCATCATGCAGCTCACATCGTTATTCTGACATTTATGTCCACACAGCATCTGCTGGATATAAGTTCACTTACTGAAATACTGCTGTTCTTATATTAGTATAGTACTGTTCTTGCATTATCACCATCCATCACACTAAAGTTTATTAACTTATTCTATAAATATTTAGTTGCTTTATTATATGATTGCAGTATTAAGTCTTAATAAAGTGTTGATTTATTCTTTAGTAATATTTAACTATATTATATTTTCAAAAAATCTGTTACATTTTTAATCACTAGAAGTAATAACATATTTAGTTGTCTTTGTTATTTTATGTAACCGATGTTGCTGAATTTATTACTTATATCACTCAGGAATTTTATTTCTTGACTGTGACCAGGAAATTTTAATTCATCCTCTATATTACTTTCTTTATTTCAGATATTTAATCTTCACACAGTTCTTACATCTTACTTGTAGTCTTATAGCTGCCTCCATTATCTTATTAATCATTTGAAAAAACAGTTTTTGCTAATCATATATTCTGAAAGTATTTCAGTATTATCTTTTACTATCATTATCATAATACATGTTTGCCTGTCTCCATAATATTTTATTTTTAAATGTTGACACTCATGTTGATGCTGTGTGCTGTTGTTGATGTGTTCACTCACGTTGATGCTATGTGCTGTTGTTGATGTGTTCACTCATGTTGGTGCTATGTGCTGTTGTTGATGTGTTCACTCATGTTGGTGCTATGTGCTGTTGTTGATGTGTTCACTGTTCTTGATGCTATGTGCTGTTGTTGATGTGTTCACTCACGTTGATGCTATGTGCTGTTGTTGATGTGTTCACTCTTCTTGATGCTATGTGCTGTTGTTGATGTGTTCACTCTTCTTGATGCTATGTGCTGTTGTTGATGTGTTCACTCTTCTTGATGCTATGTGCTGTTGTTGATGTGTTCACTCATGTTGATGTTCTATGCTGTAGTTAATCATAACAGAGACAATATTTTGATGACTGTTTAGTCTTTATGTAGGAAAGTTGAAAAATCACAAATCTAATTTATAAATTATTTCATTGAATTATTTCTAGACATCTGCCACTATATTGTTCTTGCCAGATGTAATTTGAACTTGCACCTTATAACCTCTCATGCTCAATGTAAGTCAGAAAATTATTTTATTTAAAGATTAAAATAATTATATATTTTTAGTTTATTTTACTTTAAGTTTATTTTTACTTTTAAATTTATTTATAAATATATATTCTACAAAGAAGAAGAAATACTGAGAGAGTAATGTTGCCAGTGTCTCTCAGTGATCTTTCTCATAAATATTCTACCATTTAAAATTTCAAAATGTACATTATATAAGAGGCCATTGTGCAAAAATACAATATCGGAATTAACCCTTTCATTGTCTCCACGTCAATCTTTGTTATTGATGTCAGTGTCACATAGATCTGCGTTTTAAGTACAGCAGCCTCACATATGATTTTAGTGGTAATTTATAGCTTAGACATGAGAGAATGCATCTGAACTGTGCGTGATTTTGGAAAAGCAAACTTCTGATCCTGTGTTTTGGTTTAAAATAGCAATTTTCTGGTGAATTTCTAGGGTTATTTTTATGGTTTTATTTTGCTGTTTATTGGTGTTAATTGATAGAAGAGAAGACTTACTAGTGAGAGAGAGAGAGAGAGATGATGATTTTGTTTAGTTTGAAACTAAAAGTAGTTAGAAATAGGGCTCAAAAATGGCAGAAATGTTGGAATTTTGGCAATTTTCCTAAGGAAGGATAGGACCCTTGATAGTCCTTTTGTGTGTTTTATACATTTTCCCTGAGTCTGCTTCAATTTTTGGGATGGCTTAAAATGCATCCAATCATTTTTGGTTATATTTTACCAATCAAGGGAATATGGAGTTATATAGGAGAAGCCTGGGGACATAATTAATGACCTAAGGCAAGGTTGCTTTAGTAGCTGGAATACCTTCACTGTTCTTCATCATCACTAATCTGTTCTCCTTTATTATTGTCCATCCACTATCTTCACTACAAAATACAAATGCAAATACAAAAGTTTATTATTTGCAGAGGTTATAATGTGTGATTACATTTCATAATTTGATTGGTACAAAGAAAGCCACTATCATGTCAGGGCATTTCGGGCAGACTTAGCCTAATACTTACAGAACACTTAAGTCTAGACAGGTAAATAGTGGCAAATTTCAAATATTATTTATTTTACTCTCTTACTAATATGAGGTAGTAAAAAAAAAAAAAAATTTAGTTAATAAGCTTTATGGTCCAACTAATATTATAACAAACCTGTTCATCATTTTCCTCTCTAGTTCATTCTCATCATCATTACTCTCTCCTCAACTAGCAGTAAAACTCTGCTACCTAGCATAATCACCTCACAGCTATCACTGTTCTAATATCTGTGTTTTTGAAGCAGTCCTTTTCAACCTGAAGAGAGTTTATGACACACTGTGGAGGCTTTATGTTGTTTGCTCTCTCCAGACTTTGGGATTACAGGGTTGTCAGTTCTGGTTTCTCCAGCAATTTCTGACTAACAGACTGAGATGTATGCCAGAGTTACCCAGCGTTTGTTATAGACTCTGTTTTTAAACTAGATTTTGAATTTGTAATAAAAGTCAAATTATCTTCTGATACTTAAATAGCTGGTTTCTTGTACTCATTCAATAGAACAGAAGGTATAGTATTGGCTAGCAATTGTGTTGGGTTAAACAATGAAATAGGCTGAAATTGGATGTATAGTAAGCAAAATTGTTGTTGTATAAGTTTTCCATCAAATGTTGCTTTTAATTTTTGGGTCATAACAGTGAAAAGGTTGAGTGCCTAAATGACTTTCAAGACAAAAAAATAAGATGCAGTGCATGAGAGTTCCTTTAAGGAAACAGACATATCAGTGTTCTGAATGTCTAAAAGACTTCTTGCAGAGATCACATCTAATACAACACATAAGAGTTCATACACAAGAAAAACCATATCATTGTTCTGAATGTTTAAAAGGTTTTTCACAGAAATCACATCTAATACAACACATGAGAGTTCATACACAAGAAAAACCATATAAGTGTTCTGAGTGTCTAAAAGATTTTTCACAGAGATCACATCTAATACAACACATGAGAATTCATACACAAGAAAAACCATATCAGTGTTCAGAATGTCTAAAAGACTTTTCACGGAAATCAAACCTAATAGAACACATGAGAATTCATTTAAAAGAAAAACCATATCATTGTTCAGAATGTCTAAAAGGCTTTTCACAGAGAACAACCCTAATACAACACATGAGAGTTCATTCACAAGAAAAACCATATCACTGTTCAGAATGTCAAAAAGAATTCTCACAGAGATCATATCTAACACGACACATGAGTATTCACTCACAAGAAAAACCACATCAGTGTTCGCAATGTCTGAAAGGCTTTACACGGAAATCATCCCTAATACGACACATGGGAGTTCATTCAGCAAAAACGTATCAGTGTTCTGAATGTCTAAAAGACTTTTCACAGAGATCATATCTAATACAACACATGAAAGTTCATAAACAAGAAAAACCATTTCAGTGTTCTGAATGTCTAAAAGACTTTTCTCAGAGATCATATCTAATACGACACTTGAAATATCATTCACCAAAAAAACCGTATCAGTGTTCTGAATGTCTAAAAGACTATTCCCAGAGATCACATCTAATACGACACATGAAAGTTCATACACAAGAAAAACCATTTCATTGTTCTGAGTGTCTAAAAGACTTTTCACTAAGATCACAGCTAATACAACACATGAAAGTTCATACTCAAGAAAAACCATTTAAGTGTTCTGAATGTCTAAAAGACTTTTCACGTAAATCAAATATAATACAGCACATGAGAGTTCATGCACAAGAAAAACCCTATCAGTGTTCTGAATGTCTAAAAGACTTTAAACAAAAATCGCAACTTATACAACACATGAAAGTTCATTCATGAGAAAAACTATTTGTGTTCTGAATGTCTAAAAGACTTATCACATAAATCAGATCTAATACAACACATTATAGTTCACTCATCAGAGAATTCCTTTTAAAGAGGGTTGCCATGATTCAGGCAAATTTGAGTAACCCCTCACTTTCCTTGGATCAAATATGATTACCCTACACCCCTTGCATTTTCCGTGTTGTATGACCCATATTGGTTTAACATTTGCTCTTGAATATAAAAAATAATCATGAGAGAAACTATAATATAAAATTTTTGAGTTTCAGTAGACCCTTATATGTATTACACTGTAGTTACATTCCTGAAAACGCTGTGTTAGATTAATCCGTGTTATATAAACTGAAGAACTTAAAGGGAAAATAGGGTTACGTTCCTGGGACCCTGCTAATAGCTTAACAGCTTTTTTTTAAGATGTCCAGATCTTACAAAAATAAAAATAATGCTGTTTTTGTTGCTTAACCCCTTGACTGTCGCAACCCCCAATCCTGAGGTGTCTCCTGGTGTCGCAAAATTTAAAAAAAAAAAAAAAAAAAATTTCTTATGAAATGATAGAGAATCTTTTCCTGATTGTAATGACACCAAAAAAACGAAATTTGATGGAAAACTGACGGGATTACGCTCTCGCGAAGTTAGCGCTCTTGGCGATATTTACAAATCGGCAATTTCGCCCACTTTGAGCCCATTGTTCCAGTCGACCAAACTCATAGCTATTTCTTTAGAACTCCATTTTTTCTATCGATTGAGTACAAGAAACTGCCCATTTACCGATTTCAACTACCCAATAACATGGTCAGAAATTTGCAATTTGGCCAATTTCACGAAAATTAAAAAATATGACAATTTCAAAATATGGACCAGAATGAACAATGCAGACATTCCTGGCTCTAAAATAACATTTTCTTTGTTCATCAATCATGTTTCCAGGCCCCTGTGATATTACTCTTGCTTTCTATTTTGAATTTTTATTCAAACAAAAAATAGAAGATATACTGTTAAGCAGACTACTGCAATACTGTAATAATTATATAAATAACATCAACCCATTCTAGACTGCATATTAGAATGGCTAGTTGGATATTTATTGGAAAATGACATCATTTGTTTACTTTTGAACATGGGCAAAAATCAAACATTTCCCATTCTTTGAGCTCCATTTCCAGGTTCTTTTTATAGTAAAATCAATCAAAATCACCTCTATTTCTATAATATATTTTCCATTCTATCAAATGAGACCAAGAAAACGAGAATACAACCATAAATACTATATGAAAATAGACCACAAAGTCGGCATTTTAATTAAAAAAACGGTCGGAGTTTTTTTTTTCTTATTATGCAATGCATGCTCCAAGATTTTTTTTATATGGTGCACACTGACCACACAGACCCATTTTCTCACATGTGGGCCTACCAGCTTTCTGCTTGATTTGAAGCCGCTAGAATTTATGAGTATATATACGTCAAACACGGTACCTCGTAAGACGTATATATACAGCCGCGACAGTCAAAGGGTTAAGACTATATATGCAACAGAAATAATACAGCCTCTTCTCACTTAGCGACGTACTCGTTTACCGATGCCTCGGACTTAGGAGTATTCATACCTGATTTCCTCAATTCTGTTTATTTCAGTATGCAGTACACTACTGTATAAACATTTAAAAATATACCAGAAATGTTATAAATGGTGCAAAGGTGACATTAACCCATAAACGGTCCAAGCAGATCTATGTTCACATGCGTAGTGCTCCAAAAGTAGATCTACGTTTTTTTTTACATATTTTCAAATATAACAAAAAAAATGTAGATTGAAGTTTTTTACACGTTTTCAAATGTAAAAAAAAAAAAGAAGATCTGCTTTTTACATACTTTCAAATATTGAAAAAAAACATATACAGTAGGGCCCCACTTATACGGCGGGTTAGGTTCCAGGCTGTCGCCGGAAAGCAGACATCGCCGGAAGGCAGAACTCCATTTTTTCCATTTATAAATGCATATAGATGCCAGACAACAAGTTTACACTAAATTATATTAAGTTAGTAATAGAACTAGGCATTAAAAAAACACAAAGTAAAATACAGTCACAGTAAATTCATTACTTATCTTAAAGTATTTGTAATCTTAATGTAGGGAGAGAGGTGAGTAGTACTTATTTGTAGAAAGTCAGGTGCAGGTAGCCCAGGTGTAGGTAGCACTGGCTCCCCGTCTCATACTTAATATACGATATTTAAAACATCCCAGAGAGGTAAGATGCACATACTGTACACTCATTATTTACCTTAAAATATGTGTAGTCTTAATATAGGAAGAGAGGTGAGTAGTATTTATTTGTAGGAAGTCAGTGTAGGTAGCCGGTAGGTGTAGCCTGCCTGGGCTACACCTACCGGCTACCTACACTGTGGCCCAGAGCCATATTATTAGCATCGACATGCCTTGTTCACTGAATTTAATCATTTCTAACAACTACCTTTAGATGCCATCATAAACGAAGGTAGAAGTAATGAATAATTCATGCCGAAAATTGTAAACAAAAGCGGAGTGAGGGAGCGGCTGAGCCAAACACAGATTCATAAACGTTTTCTCTGATGGCTGAACAGAGAAAACGTAATGTTGTCCCTCCACCCGGCTACCACACAGCTCCATAAGTATTATTATCAGAGCATATAAAATATGCAATAAATGCCAGACAACAAGTTTACACTAACTTATATTAAGTTAGCAATAAAAATAGGCATTAAAAACGATAAAAGGTAAGATACACACAGAGTTCACTTATTACTTACCTTAAAATATTAATATTAGTGTGTGAGAGGTAAGTGGCAGGGTGTTTATTGAATAAAATCAGAATGGCACACCATCATCCTCTAACTTGGCACTTAAAGCAAGAGGCTTACGACTTCTCTTTTTATCACAGCTAACCTTAGACGTCATCGTCAATGAGAGCCAACTAGTTAGCGAAAGAGTAAACGAGAGAGAGAACAAAATACAGAGTTGAGACAATGGAAGAACACAAACTGAACAGGTAGTGGACGATTACTTGGTCAGGCGAAATAAATGCGTATTAATATGTGTCTACTTTTAGTTCATTCACGTCCATTTGTAAGAGTTTGTAAAACATTTACCTCAATATTTTTTTTTATTATAATAATAATTACCTCACAATACAAATACTGTTACATTGTGTACAAGTTGTACAAGTTAGTTCAGAATAAACAAACAGCAACACACCATTTTTAGAGTGAATGAAGATAATAATAATAATAATAATAATAATAATAATAATAATAATAATATTATTATTATTATTATTATTATTATTAGTAGTAGTAGTAGTAGTAGTAGTAATATTATTATTATTATTATTTATAAAAAGCACTAAACCCACAAGGGTCGTGAATTGCTATATATAGAGTATAGGCTTACGAAAAGAATATTTTTCTACAGTTATCCCCCAGTTTGACTAGAGAAAACATAATTCTTCCGACACTACCTACACAGCTGCTTGGTAAACAAATCTCATATTTACATCAATTTTTATTCTGTGAGTGTATGTATTATGTTTATATGCTGTGTAATGGGTTTCATATATAATTTTGAGGAAAATATAGACGGATTAATGAAAATGCCTATATTGATGTAAAATAAGACATTTAGTGTGCCAAAGAGTGGTTATTATTAAAACCATACCACTGGCGGGATTGAACCCGTGGTCAGAGAGTATTGGCGTCATGAATAGAGACTTAGCGAATTTAATGTATACCTGCACACCAGCACAGTGTGTAAGTATATTTAAGTTCAGAGTACATATAAAATATGCAGTAACTTTAAAGCACTTGAAATTTTGGAAAGTTTCCTGACATAATAGATGAGGTCACGGAAAATGTAAACAAACCGGGTGGGGGGCGCCGTATTTGAAAGACCACTTGCTGTATAGCCAATTTTGGTCATAATTTGACATTGCCGTATTAGCGGAATGCCATAAGGCAAAACGCCATAAAGCGGTGCCTTACTGTATACGTTTGGACCGTTTACAGGTTAAAACAATATCAAAGATGGTTGGCACAAACACACTACCATTATAGTATGCTCCTCATTTAGTGATGAATTTGTTTAACCCTTAAATGGTCCAAATGTATATATACGTTTTTTCAACATCTGAAAGTATGTAAATAATGTAGATTTTTTTTTTTTTTTGTTTTACATTTGAAAACGTGTAAAAAAAACTTTTATCTACATTTTTTTTTTTTGTCACATTTGAAAATATGTAAAAAAAAGTAGATCTATTTTTGTGGTCTCGGGAACGGAACTCCATCGTTAAGTGAGGACAGGCTGTATTTACCTTAAATTGTGGTTGCTGGTATATGTCAGTGATTGTGAAGAAAGTGGAGATGAATGGTGTGGCCCTACTGGGCTGAGGTGGATGGTTGTTGGTTGTCGGCATAGGTTCAAATTCAAATTCAAAGTTTATTCTCTATAAGGATTACAATGCTGAGTTTACAGAATTTGGTTATTGTATTGTTTACATGTAGTAAAATAATAATTACAGAGTGTACCACTAGAACACCTAGCATGGCTAGGCATTTTGGGCAGACTTAATTTAAATCTTAAGTTTAAAATATTACAAAATTATGAGGTAAGTTGGTATTATGGCTAAGTGACTAAATACTAGTTTGTGAGTTTAGCAATGTGAATGCTTTTGTTTTGGCACTATACATAGTTTCAGTATTGGAGTATCACAGGCCAACTTATGACTAGTTAAGATTCATTATTTTGAGATTGAGATTGATATTTCTGTTTATGGTCAAATGGGTGAGTGAGTGTAAGTGTTAACCACCAGGTGGTATTCGTGTAATTAGTTGACAGGGTGTATCAGGGAGATAAGATGTTTTCTGATGGTAGTTTTGAAGGTGATGAATGTGTCTACAGTTTCAGAATTTTCAGGTAGGGTGTTCCAGATTTTAGGGCCTTTGACATACATTGAATTTTTGTAAAGGTTTAGTCGGACACGGGGAATGTCATAGAGATGTTTGTGTCTGGTATTGTGCCTGTGGGTTCTGTCGCAACTATCAAGAAAGCGTTTTAGGTCAAGGTTAATATTGGAATTTAAGGTCCTGTAGATGTAGATTACACAGTAGTAAGTGTGGATGTACTGAACAGGGAGTAAGTTTAGATCTATGAAGAGTGGGGGGGTGTGTTGCCAGGGATGGGATTTATTGATTATTCTTACTGCGGCTTTTTGTTGGGTTATTATTGGCTTTAGGTGTGTTGCTGCAGTTGAACCCCAAGCACATATAGCATAGGTGAGGTATGGATATATAAGTGAATGGTATAGTGTGAGAAGGGCAGTTTGCGGCACGTAGTATCATATCTTGGAGAGGATCCCAACCGTTTTGGATACTTTTTTGGTTATGTGTTGGATATGGGTGCTGAAGTTCAGGTTGTTGTCGAGGTATAGGCCTAGGAATTTGCCCTCATTATGCCTGGCAATTAGAGTGTTGTCGATCTTAATGTTAATTTGCGCATCTCCTGCTCTGCTACCAAACATAATGTAGTAGGTTTTGTCAGTGTTAGGCGTAAGTTTATTGGCTGTCATCCAAGTCGATATTTTGATCAGCTCCTCATTAACAATGGTGTTGAGGGTGGCAAGATTAGGGTGAGAGATGACATAAGTCATGTCGTCAGCAAAGAGAATGGGGTTCAGGTGTTGAGATACGTTTGGAAGATCATTGATGTATATGAGGAAGAGCAGGGGACCAAGGACACTTCCCTGCGGAACTCCAGTATCAAGTGGCTGTGTTGTTGATGCTGTGTCTTTAATGGTGACATACTGATACCTATTAGTAAGGTAAGATTTGAAATATGCAAGCGCATGGCCTCTTATACCATAATGGTCAAGTTTGTGGAGTAGGATTTCGTGGTTTACTGTGTCAAAAGCTTTTCTTAGGTCAATAAAAATTCCTAGTGGATATTCCTTATTTTCCAATGCTGTGTAAAGCAGATCTAGCATTTTTATGATTGCATTGTTAGTGCTTTTATTTTTCCTGAATCCAAATTGGCAGGGGTTGAGTATGTTTTGTGCCGTTATAAATGAATATAGTCTCCTGTGCACGAGTTTCTCAAAGATTTTGGATAGCAATGGTAAGTTTGATATTGGCCTATAGTTGTTTAAATCTGTAGGGTCACCACCTTTATGTATTGGTGTAACCCTTGCCATCTTGAGTAGTTTCGGGAAGGTGCTAGTTTCTAGTGACTTGTTAAAAAGTAATGAGATAGCATGCGAGAGGACATGGGCCGCTCTCTTGTACAATAATGGTGGGACATGAGACAGATTCCCTGAGTTATTTTTAAGTGACTTTATAATCTCGGTGACTTCCATGGGCTCAGTTGGAGCAAGATAGAAGGAATTTGGGAAATTCCCATCTAGGTAGTACCCGGCATGGGCATTGGTGCGTGGGATTTTATTGGCGAGATTAGAACCTATGGTTGAGAAGAAGTCGTTTATCTTGTTAGCTGTGTCAGTGGGATGCAGTGGTGTTTCATTAGGTTTAGTTAGGGCAATATTCTTGTTTTTTTTCAGTTTTTGGGTCCCTAGAATCTGAGAGAGTGTTTTCCAGGTCTTTTTTATATCTCCTCTTGTGTCAATGAATCTACTGGAGTAGTATAGTTGTTTGGCTTTCTTTATTACTTTGGTGAGGACTGATGAATAGTGTTTAAGAATATCTTTGTGTATTAAGCCCTGTCTATATTGCTTTTCATATTGGTGTTTCTTAACAATGGATTTCAGAATGGTGCTGGTTAGCCATGGGCAACCAAGCTGTTTGTTTGTGATCTGTTTCGTTTTTATAGGACAATGTTTGTTGTATAGTATAAGTAATTTGTTAAGAAAAATGTCTGTCCAGTCGTCAATACCATTGGCCTTGGAGAATTCTGTAGGCGGATGGTAGGTGGATGGTTAAGGTTTTGGTCTAAAGTCGAGGCTTGTACTGGAGTGTGCATAAATTCTGTAATGGATCTCTGGCTTCTTTTACCCTACAGTACATTATACAGATGATGGTAAGGCATCATCAGCTGTTCTAAACCCCATTTCAAATCACGGCTTCTAGATTTATCAGGGTCCTCTTCAGTGAACAAGTCTGCTAGTTTAGCAGCAACATGGAACTGCTCATGTAACTGCTGCAATGTTAACTGTTTTTCTTCAGGTTCTTCTTCATCTTCTGTTATCTGGCTTCCTTGTATCATAGCATTGGTCTCTGCCAACATTTCCTCTGGATTCCTGTCATCATCTTCATCTTCTAAGAGTTCATTCACATCTTCGTCCTTCATATCTTCAAAGCCATCACCTGATAATCTTGCCAGCTGAACAGTTTCCTGAACCTGATTCTCAAGCAAGGGAAAACCAGTGAAAGAATTAACTACAGAAAATTATAACTTTCCCCAGCCTACATTTAATGTTGGCTGGGGCACTTCATTCCATGCACCTCTAACATGGCTGATGGGTTCAATTCCCAGCCAGGATAGAAACATTGGGCATATTTCTTTTACACCTGTTGTCTATGTTCACCCAGTATGCTGAGGTCAGTGGTCACCTGCGGTCATACCTGTCCTAAGCTCTCTGGGAGTTAGCGTGGGGTGTTACCAAGTGTTTTAAAATCTCAGGTTCAGGTGTTGAAGAAGGAGGTTCTACTTGTTCAGGAGGAAAATAGGAGGCTGAAGCTTTGCCTAGATGAGTTTGGGAGTGAGTGTGAGAAGGATTTAGCTGGTAAGGAGGAAATGGTCACTAGCAGTGATAGTGGCAGCCGCTGTAAGTGGCAAGTGGTTCACAGTTCAGGAAGAAGGAAGATAAGGAGGGTTAACAGAGAAGATGTGAAGGTAGGAAATCGATTCTCTGTTCTCCAGGACAAGTGCACTTCAATGGTTAGTGAAGTTGAAGGTACCACTGATTCCCCTGCTAATCAAGGTAAGAATATTTTAATAGTAGGAGATTCTCAGGTAAGATATATGGACTGTGCTTTTTGTAACAGAGACAGAAAGGTCAGACAGAGGGTGTGCCTTCCAGGAGCTGGTGTTGGTGACATAGTCAGCAGGTTGGATAATATTATGTCAGGTAATGGGAACAAGCCCAT